ATATATATCCAGCTAGCAAATCCAGTCGCAGCACATCAACACAACTTCTTGCAACACCTGAATTTTAACGTTGTCTGGGGCAGCCGTTGATTTCCTAGTTGGTATCCGCAGCATTACGGGACGCAAGCTTATTCTGTTCCACTGCAATCTCTGCTGGTACGACATACACTTCCTTTGTCTGTATATTGAGAGTGTGTTATATTGGTTCCTAATTTCAGAAAAAGTTCATAACAGGCCTGAGTGGCAGTTGCGCGAATTGGAGGTATTACGTACGGCTCGAAGCATTTTGGAACGCAATATTTTTCTGTTCCGCTGCGATTTTCTGCTGATATGCCGTACACCTCCGTTGTCAGTGCATTGAGATATTATGATATTGGGTCCAAATTTCATGGAAAACTTGCAATACGTTTGTGCATATGAGGCTTGGGGTTTGCATTGCAAGCTTAGGGGCCGTCGGTGGAACTGGGCCTAAGACCGGCCTTATATGTGGGATCTTGTGCGGTGCCGCAGTAGGGGCAGGAGCTCGCGATGGCTTTGGACCTATGGAAGCCACGGTCGCCGTTTACAATACTGATGGGTCAAAACGGCTGCATCTCTCAACACAGTCACTGGTTGTTCCGCATCTCTCAGCACAATCACTGGTTGATCCGTGACACTTTCTGTCTGTTCGCCATACACCTCCTCTGCTAGTGAACCCCGTGGATGCGTTACAGCCTCCCCATAGTCTGAAACTCCCACAACATGCTAGAGTGGTCGGCAGACTGGGCCGCACGGGAGTGCAAGATATGTTGTGCTACGGTGTTTAGTTTGACGGGGGTTGATCGCAGCATGTCGCAATGCACTCGCCGAGCGTTCCTTCACAACCATTAACCGCGTGCCATCAGTCCATTACGTACAATTGGCTGTATTTGCATCCGCTTGTCATGGGTTGTTTGCCACGAGGTCTCGTTTATCTCTGTACCAGGCTGAACCACCAACTACGTGCCACCAGTCCATTACGTACAATTGGCTGTATTTGCATCCGCTTGTTATGGTTTGTTTGCCACGAGGTTTCGTTTATATCGGTGCCAGGCTGCATCGGAGGCATGATGACGTTCGATGGATTTAAACCTGAGGAGAGTACCATATATGGTTTACCCTGCAGTGCAATAGTATGAAGCGGGGCCTTCGATGGCAATGGATTCGCCATGAGGAAAGATACGAATTGTAGACGATATGTGCACACTCTCATGACAGATTAACAACTAAACACGCTCCATTTGTCCTGCTTTGCACTTGGTTTTTATTCGCTGCTTTGCACTTGGTTTTTATTCGCTGTCTTTGAACGTCTGTCACCACTGCTGCCTTCGCGGTGCGTGAGCAAGCAGTAATTTTCAGTCTTCGCATCCGCCACGAGTCATACTATCAGCCCAGTCGATGGTATTGTGTAATACAGCTGTTATAACTGTTCATTTAGAAGGCTATGTTATGACTCATATCGATTTGCGTTTCTTTGGCGGATTGTCTATAGTCCATCTCTTAGAATCTTGTATACTTTCGACTCGCGACTGCGCTTGCCGATATGATAATTCGTCATATAGTATGTATCAAAGCTAAAATCCGCATACATACGCGATGTGCATGCCATTGCTGCGTTCCTACAGTATCTACGTCACGCCTAGGCTACCCTTCAGTAGTGTGTGCAAAGGCTCGCGATCACGTTTTGCGTTGCCTCTTGCTGGGTGTGTCGCTTGTTGGTGAGGTGCTCCGTCTGATGGCGTCTGCCTTGTTCTCAGTATGACCCGTGGCCTTGGTGTTTACCTTGGTGGGTGCATCCACTTTGCTAGTCTCTGACTCTACGTCTGATTTGGTGTCTGGTTCCTCGTTATTGGAGTCGCTTTGTGACCTTTTTCTCGCCCGCATTTTTACGGCCTGTACTTTATATAACGCCAATTTCTCAAGCTGCGATAAGTTCGGAATACAAACGCATAAGATCAGCATGCATACCAGCTCGTCTTGGACTGTGATAGGCAAAATCGGACACTACAACACTCTAATCACTGCCCGTACATTATACGACATGGACGGCCAAAGCTATCCCCAGTACAAATCAAATCAACCACACACAATTAGAGAACAACGCACGCACGCTAAGCACATACCCCAGCGGGAGCTAGAATCCATTTTGTGGGGTCTTTGTTGATCTTGACAAAGAATGGTGGGCTGGGATTGTTGGTTAAACTCGATATCGTGGCCCTCTTTGTTTCAGCCGAGTACATGGTTCCATTCTTCTTCTTGAGATTCACAAAGTGCTGTTGGTGACGAGAGGGAAGAGTGTATAGTGGCATTAGTTAGACACTCTGCCGTGAGCTCGAGTAGGCTTCGAGTATGTCTTGTGAGCTTCAGATGTGGTTTCAAGGGTTGGTCGATAACCTCCAGCGCTCTGAAAAATTAGAGGGGTATAGTCAATGGGCAAGATGTGCATCCGGTTGATAGATTACATACCCACAGCATACAGGTCATACACAGGTGACTTCCTGATTCTGAAACATATAACCATGCCAAGTGTGCATACCCAACACATTGCACAGCAGACATCTATCGAACGAGTGACGCGATTGTTCAAACGACATTAGTATCTGCTGAGCCTAAATCCACACCTGCTTGCGACTCTTGCGAGTGAAGCACGCTGGCGAACCCACGCCGCAGATCAAAAGCCGAACTGATCGTCTAATGGGAAAAACTCAACCACTTTCAATTATATGATGGCGAATACTCAGCAACACAGACACATACCCAGAACATGAGAATGTCATGATGCGAACACATGACAACTGTAAAGCTGCAGGCAAATACAATGGAGCTACTCCCCCCCGCGCGCATGGGGCTGTCGATGCCCTCGAGAAAGCGACCCGCTATGCGTGGCAGACACCACACACATGTATATGAACTGCTTGCTTCGCCATCACAACAGACCGGCGTTCATGCCACTGCGAGGGCGTGCAATTGGAGATTCAGACATACCGGTCCCACTCGGTAATGTATGTCCTCGATGTGCATGCCTTTCCCTTCTTCAATCGTTCCGAGTACTCGGAGCAGTATCACTGGTGCGCAAAAACAAGACATGTGGGGGTGAGTCAAATACAGCAGCCTTGTGATGAGTGCTTTCGGCCCCAGCACAATATTGATGATGCTACAAGTAACCACACACCGTAATCACACACCGCAACGAACGCGGCATTGTCATACAGGATACGATCGTCACGTTATGAGCTTGCGCGTTAGCTACATGCACAACCATCACTCGTACCGGCGGCGCAGATCCCGATACAAACCAGTCAATGTTACAAAGGTAGACTAGTAGGTATCAGCAAGCCAGCAAATATATGAATCAGGCTGCAGGTGCTATTTCTAACCTGGGAGTGTTCTGCATGGTGGAGTTGGGCAGACCCGGTCCCACTACAGTAATATGCTCACTGCCCACTGGCAAATACTCTACCACCCAAAAAAAAGGAACAAATCGACCACACACAAAAAATGGAAATCCGACTGTTGCAACGTGCTTGCCAAATACTACGCTCACTATCGCCTAGCTTCACAGTATCGAGTCTGCACCAGAGCCACCCACACTACATTCAATCCTACCCCTACCCATCGCCAGCTGAAAACGTTTATACGTCCCCAACTGAAAACGCCTATATGTATACGCATCAACGAGCACATGTACAAACCCATACATACATTGCAAACCAGTCAGATCCATAGCAGCCGCCAAGTCATTCTCCGTGTCGTGCTCCACCTCAGACTCCACCCTGGGCCACTCATACGTATCGTCACGTATGCGGTCAGACGCCACAACGTTGTCTGCGGGTGTGTTCTGCCCCGCAGCGCTTTCGGGACGGCTCGGCGGTTCGTACGGCGACAGTTCATCGTCGGGCACTGTTGTAGGGTATGGGTGGATGTGGGCGTTCTGTGAATAGATGATATATGCAGAGTGTAGTAGAACAATGGCTGGTTTGATGTGGGCGTTCTGTGAATAGATGATATATGTTCTGTGAATAGATGATATATGCAGAGTGTAGTAGAACGATGGCTGGTTTGATGTGGGCGTTCTGTGAATAGATATAAATATGTTCTGTGAATAGATGATATATGCAGAGCGTAGTAGAACGATGGCTGGCTGGTGATTTGGATGTGTATCGTCAGACACTGCCGTAAATATGTGCAGGTGTGGTCGTGCCGTGCGGGCAGATGGCGATGGTTTCTGTGGGCGTAGTTGCATACGCGCAGATCTATTCGGTTGACTGGATGATGTGAAAGCTCGCGTTTGATCATCTGGCGCAGTTGTAACAGTTCGTTTGCAGAATTGCTACGCAGATAGGGCATGGACGGTATACTCATACGGCACATGTGATGTAGCATTGGGAGGCCTGATTGGATACCTTTCAGCGCCTCGTGCTAAAGCTTTGGTTTCTGGATGAAGGTAGGGTCAGTATTTCCATCTGCATGCGCACAATCAACCGCGAGCGGGCTCCAGAAGGTGGTCGCAAAAGTATAGTACAATTGTAGTAAAACTATAGTATAACTGTAGTAGTTATAGTAAAATTATAAATATATATGTACAACTGCAGACTGTATACACACATATACTCACGAGCTATGCTCAACACATACGCCTTGTCGGTTGTCTACATACTTTTGAATTGATCTTGTCCGTTTCCGAGCGACACAAACTTGACATCGGACAGATCGACTTCGCTCTCCGCAAGGACGGCTTTCGCATGCGTGGTCAACACCCAATTGTGAAAATGCTGTCTTTTGTATAGAGGTGCGTCGTTGCAGCTGATGGAAACACCATGATGAGCAGGAAAAAGGGCGTGGTCAGATGGGTGAAAAAGGGGTGTGAGTTGAGGGAAGTTAACATGTGAGTGCTTGAGAGTGAGCATGGGAAACAGTATGAGAATTGGCAGTTACTGTAGTATGTGTGTACCTTGTGCAGAGGAAAGGTGAGTAGTAGTACAAACAGTTTTCGGATCTCATTTTAGGCACGTTTCAGTAAATTATTTCGACTTAATTCTGGGCTGGTTGCTTCCCCATTTTTCATACCCACTCAACACTGCACTAAAATACAGATCTCTGATCAGTCTCCAATGTACCTCACCTCTTCATTAGGTGGCTATCTTGTTTCTGCCAAAGCACTCTACACACACACTTATCCATCCATCTCCGCCCCAGTTCGTGAACGCAAAGCCTTATTCCACTCACGCCTAACCTATTTTAACTAACACTCTTATATAACAAGCCACGATATAAATCTCCCTACGCACACTCAGGCATACTGTTGAACACTAATGACACATCACTAATATCACAGTAGTGTCTTGAGTGTTTGAGTCACCTTTTGAGCAGCGACGAGTTGACCGCCCTCCGGCAGTCTACGGCGTACGGTGTGCCATCGCGTTTGCGCAAGGAGCCCCACGTGAGAGACACGTGGTCGCAGATCTGGTCCACGTGCGCCGATCCCTTGTGTATAATCAGCGCTTCAAGGATCAAAGCTGGGGAGAGAAGGCCGGGCGAGGCGATGCAATGTGATGAGAATATACAGGCGAATACCGGCACGGACAACAGATCTAGATGAAGATACAGTACCATACACAGGGCTGTGTGCTAGCTCGAAACGAACACATGTTTAAATGACTCACAATCACATAGTTGCGCAGGAGCTTGGCCGTGGAGAGCACCTCCAACAGCTCTCGCTAAATCTGTAGTGCAACTTCGTATGAGAATGATATAGGTGCATCTCAATAACTCGACTCGTGCGCTTCCAAACATAACACTCGGCAACTGCTACATGAGCACATCCAGCGGAGAAATCACACTTGGTTAGTGTTAAAAAAACATACCGTGCAACTCTGTCAGAGAATGATTGGATGCAGCGACAGCTATTGCAGCGCTATCGGCAAGGCTGACGTGCTTCAACTCCATGTGAGCGCACGGTTCGGTGTCAGAGCCGTTCCCATCCTGATCGTGGAGAGTACAGATGATACAATATGGTTAGTAAAGGATTATAGAAAAAAATTATCAATAAAC